CCAAGTACCACCAAAGGATAAGACAGGTCCTGAAGAGCCAGCTTAATGGGAAGGACAAGATCCATGCCATCATCACATATGCCCTGCCAGTCATCAGATACCCTGCCAGCATAGTGAGCTGGCCAAAGGAGGACATGGAAGCTGCCAATGTGAAGATTCAGAAGCTCCTCACAATGTACAGAGGTTTCCACCCCAAGTCCAACACACAGAAACTGTACACCAGCTGGATGTACTGGTGCTAAGTGACAGCATGAAGAAGGAGTATGAGAAGCTGGAGAACTACCAGGACCTGAAGGAGGAACTAGAGAGGATGTGGAAAGTGAAGTCCAAAGTGGTCCCAGTGGTGGTAGGAGTACTTGGGGCTGTGACTCCTAAGCTGGGAGAGTGGCTCCAATAGATCCCAGGAATAACATCAGAGCTCTCTGTCCAGAAGACTGCAGTGCTAGGAACAGCTGAGATACTGCACAGAACTCCCAAGACCAGGCCTTGGATAGAGGACCCAAGATCGAGGAGGACACATACCATCCTTAGGGGTGAGAGGGGATATATATATATCTTTATAAATATACATATGTAACATCCTCTTACTGCTGGGCTTGCTATGTTCTTTTGTCGGATCCTTCTTTTTAACATAGTAATCATTGAGCGGAGCATTCTTTCAGTTCTTCTTCTTCTCCCCAGAGTCCTCGGAGTGGCCTGAAAGAGCAGAGCTATCTGGACGACAGCCCAGAGAAGAATGAGATTCATGAAACAGTAAGAGTAGCATGAAGATTCTGATAGAAATTTCTGCAGTAGTTACGGATAAAAGCTTGTGTTCTTTCTTCCTCTTTTTCTTCTTGAGATGCCCCTTGGATTTTTGACTTTGTAGATATATGCTAATCTTTTAATTGGTTTTTATAAATTTAAACTGTTCAGAGACTTAAGAAATCCATATTGGGGTTTGTTCTTGATTGGATACTTCCATCTGTTTCAGTTAAGATTTTGTAGTTAGCTGTGCAACTTTCTCATTGCAATTTATGGAAAATTGTTCCTCAGCATTAGCTTACCTCCAGGCATTTTCAGGTTCTGTTTCCATTGCTCCTGTTAGAACAGTCTTGGATAGTAAAGCTGGGAGAGATGTCTGCCTGTCACCCTACAAAGTGTCTCCCAGTCGTCTTTTAATTTTAAGTGAGAGAGAGACTAATGCCCTTTGTCTGTACGTACGCTTGAAAAGCAACTGTTCTTTTATATCCCTGATCTGTGTACCTAGGGTGGAGGCATGTTTATAACAATGCACAAGGATTGCAGCCTCTAATCTAAAATGATATTTTCTCTGGAGTGCCCTTGAACTGGAGAGGCAGATGCAGTAGCCATATTGAACTAGTTTTGCCTTGACATTAAGGAACAGAATGTATATTTTTCCTCTGAAGAAGGAGAACTGGCAATACTGGAGGCTTCAAAGACATGCAGATATTAACATCATAGTACTGTGTCAAGAAGCATATCTTATAATAGAAATGTGCCATATAATTCTGTGTTGAAAATACTGTATTCACTGAACAGGCCTTTTAGTTCACAAGTTCTCATCCTCTAAAAGTCTACACAGGATTGAACTTCTGATCCAAAATCAAGTGCCAGAACACCAGTTTTGTCTTAAGCAAAGAAACAAGTTTGTCTTTCTCACGGTTCTGTGTTTTGTAGGGAAGGGTATGTCACTGGGCTGGCATGGCTGTGTTCCACATACCAGTTTTTAATTTACTTAGCAGATGTGTATCCTGTTTTCCAAAGTCCTCAAAAATCAGATGACAGTGTTTATAAGCATATAACAGATTCAGCAAGAATCACACACTGCAAACAAAACAAAGCAGCCAGTGCCATTAAAGCAGGACCTGACATCTGATTTTTTTCCTTCCCTACAGGGCAGTTGGGGTTAATGGCTCCATGGTGGGGAGGGAGCAACCCAGCTGGAAAGGATGTAGGCGCCCTGTGTTTTCTTTCCCTCCTCCCTCCCTCAAATTCCACTGTCTTTTTTTTTTTTTTACAGTCTACACTCCTCCATATAACAGTACTTCAGTGAAAGTACCAGCTTCTGTAGAGGCTCAAATATTTGGTTTAAGGGCAGACTGTGCAGCTGTGTAACAAAAGCTATTTTTACTTTCTGTAGCTGATTATGTCATTTGGTTTAATGAACAATAGTGTTTTTGATACAAGACTTCATTTTTATTTGATCAGATTATTTTATATAGGTGCTTGCAATAAGTAGAACATGCTGGAACCAAGAAGTATAATGCATGCCCACAAAGGCTTTCTAAAAATCTTTGTTTTCTTTTAGTATATTGAACTGTCAGGGGAAAATAGCCTTGTAATATTTGGACATAGTAAAATAGAAACTGCACTGATTTCTTTTCTTCTGACAATGGCAGGATTCTCCATCCAGCCTTGGAAGCCCTTCCTCTCGTGTGGCGCCTCCAATCATAGGAGCAGAAGATGATGACTTTGATGGTGAACAAGAACAGGTATGTTCTTAGCCTGCTAACCATAATAGGGAAGCTGTCATGTGAATGCTTTCTTGAGCTCAGCTCATCGGACCTTACCCCCTCACCCACCCACCCAGTTTGGATAGAGGATTCTCTTTAGGAAAATTCTGTTGACATTTCTTAAAGGATACACTGATGTGTTTCCAGTAATAACTTCAATTTCCTAAAGGGTTTGTAAGGGCAGTTTTGTATGCTAATTTGTAAATCAGGATAAAGTAATTTAGTATGCTAAAGTGTCTAGCTTGTTTGACTTTTAGCAGCAGCATATAAGAACTTCAGTTTCACTACAAATGCTTTTGGCTCTCTGTGGATTCATAAGGGAGTGTCCAAGAAAGAGATTTGTAGTTTAAAAAATGTTAAAGGTGCACATTAGAATGAATGTGTTAAAGGCCCTGTTTCTTGGTTATATTGATAATTATTATGATAATTTTCTCAGATGCTGTATATATTTATTTTTGTATTGTTTTTAATTGTTACTGTTTTAGAATTGTTTGCTGCCCAGAGTCACTTGGTTGAGATGGGTGGCTGTAGATATTAAATAAATAAAGCTGCATCCTTTTCTTTTATTTATTTATTTATGTTAAGTTTATGATAGAAGAGGTATGAACCTTGGAGTACTCATTCTAAAAATGTTCATGCTGTCTCTACAGATCAATGGACAATGTAGCTGCTTCCAAGATATAGAGCTACTGAAATCACGCCCCGCTCACCTGGCTGTCTTTTTGCATCATGTCATCTCCCAGTTTGACCCAGCTTCTTTGGTAAGCTGTTGGTTTACGACTCATTTCTGTGTTATGGATCAGATGGATTCCAAAATCCCATTCAGCCTAAATATGTCTCCCAAACTGACACCTTCCAAATGTGTTGAACCAATTCCAGTTACACCTCAGCCACTATAATCCTTCAGGCAGTTTAATCAAAGTGGAGGACATCAGTTTGAGGAAGGCTGGAATAGTTTTAGTAGGGGACAGCACCATTTTGTTCTGATACTATAAATTTTGTGCAAAGCTTGGTCACAGAAGTGAATGCCCAAGAAAAAATGGTATTTCTTAACTCTCTGAGGAAGTTTTATCCCTGTGAAAATGTTCTTGAAAACCTGAAAGAAGGATTTGTAGGAAGAATTAAGTTTATGCTTAATTTTTACCATTTACTATACTATTTTTTCTTTCTGTGTAGCTTTGTTATCTTTTTGCGGACCTGTACAAACAAACAAATTCCAAAGAGACTCGTCGAGTGTTTGCTGAATTTAATCAATTTTTTCTGGATCGAGCTGCAGTAAGTTCCAAACACACACACACAAACACACCCACACATACATTCTTGTTTTAATCTTGTTTCTTGGTTTCATGGCCTTAGAGTCTTTGGAATTAGATCATCAGCAGTGCTTTGTAACTGATTTTTTTGGACCAAATCACTCATGTTTTGAAGGTAGATTACATTTTGTTTTTAGATCCAGGGAAATGAATATGGGAAAAGATTTTATATGTGTTACTATGCATGTGCATGCATCTTGGAATGATGTACATTCAGTGGAAGTCAGGAGGTGGAAGAAGGGAAATCAAGGGAAGAATTTGCTCCATGTTTTTATCTTTTATTTTTGCAGAATCTGAAAGTCCCAGTTCCAGATGAAATTGCAATTGATTTTGGTAAGATTATTGAAAATAATCTAGATAAGATTATTTTAGAGCTTGGACATTTAATGCTTTTTGAGAAATTCTGGTGAATTTTGTGTCCATGCGGTATTCTTTGATATCACCAGATATAACCTGGGAGATAGGAAAAAATTACATTTGAGTAATGCCTATCCATAGTGGGGAGATAAAGTTTTCAGCCATTAGGTAGGAAAAATCTGTGCTGCAGAATTAAAGGCAAAAGATGTCAGCTAAATACTTTGTTCTAAATAAAATTGATTTCTCTCTTTATCTGAAGAAAAGAGAAGGCTGGAATTAATTCCTGAAGAATTGCACCGCCATTGTATTCACACTATGCAAGACAAAGTCTCCCATGAAGTAGACAAGCACCTTGAAGATTTTAGGTACATGTTGTTTATTGGCTGAGTTTTGTGCAAAGTTTGAAGAGTAACTTTGTTGTTTATTTGTAGTGTTTTGGGGGATACATCCAGCAAAGGGAAATTCATCTTCAGTTTGAGGGTTTAGTTTTTTGGAAATTATATCTAAGAGAGTATCCTTTTTTTAAATTATTAGTGAAACTGACCGATATATTTCCTTCTTTTCTTTCTCGAAATTCATGATCTTTTTTTCTTACTTAAATTTTCCATAGAATATCTAGAGGCCAATTACATTAAAAGAAAAGTAGATATTACTGTGTATATCTAATGACTAGATCTTATATAGATGCTCTGAGCACGTGATAGGAAAATTGGCTTTATTTTAATTCAGTACTTCTCTAATCTACACTGGTTTCTGTCTTACCTAGCAGTTCTTGTACAGGTAGTCCTTGCTTAATGACCCTAATTGGGACCAAAATTTCTGTTGCTAAGCAAAGCAGTCATTAGGCAAAACGTGACCATACCGCTTAGCAATGGCAGTTCTGATAGTCCCAGTTGAGGTCATTAGGTGACGACTGCGCCATCGTTAGGTGAGGACCTCGTGATTCTCCTGCCCTGTGTGAACTGCTGGCTCTGTCCTGCTGCCTCCTCCCCGGCTGGCCCTGGCAAGCTGCCTTCAGCAGACAAGGCTCCACCATCCTGCCATGCTCACCTCCATTTCAGCTCCCCCCATTTGCCTATCTCTCTCCTCCATATCTGCCCTTTTGGGCACTCTGCACTCTGCTGCTACCTACCTCTGCTTCACCGTCTTCTCCCTCCCGCTGCTGATGAGGCACGCCCAGCCAAGCAGCTTCGTGGGCCGGGGGGGGGGGCGGAGTAGGGT